GTTGAAAACACTATAATCTGTGTTGAGCTTTTGGAATGAATCAGGTTACATTAAAATGAAACACTTTTTGTTAGTTTGTTTTTTTTTTTTAAAAAGGTGAAGTTTTTCAGTTTCTGATTAATTCTTTTTTGTTTTAGACTACAGTGCTCAAGTTCACCTTGGTGGGATAGAGCAGGAGTCCCCAATGTCAGAATGCCCGCCACTCACGCAAATTTATCTATCTATCTATCTATCTATCTATCTATCTATCTATCTATCTATCTATTGGTTCGATTTATATGCCGCCCTTCTCTGAAGACTCAGGGCGGCTTACAATGCATTAAGCAATAGCCTTCATACTTTTGTATATACCTGCTTAGTAGGGCTTTCGCCCCCACCCCAGCGGTGTTCTTTTTTATATATACAAAGTCAACTTATTGCCCCCACAATCCGGGTCCTCATTTTACCTACCTCGGAAGGATGGAAGGCTGAGTCAACCTTGAGCCTGGTGAGATTTGAACTTGCAGTAATTGCAGGCAGCTGGCAGCTAAGTGCTATTTAACAGCACTTTAGTCTGCTGCACCACCAAGGCTCTTTACAAATGAAGCTGCGCACACGCACGTGTGCACCTGCCACTCACACAAAACCATTTTCTCTCCTCCATCCCTCCCCCACTTCTCTGTCGGTCTCCAAAGACGGAACTCTTGGGGACCCCAGTGATAGAGTCAGAACAATTCTTTAAATAAACAATTAAACAAATAGCTCTTGCTGTGGTTTTCTTCAGTCTTTGGATAGCTCACAGCATTTAAATAAAAAAACAACTGAACTGGAATCTGTCTCATGTAATATTTTCCCCAAGTCTCAAATGTCAATTAGACAAGAAACTTTCACTTTGTGTTTTGAGCATCAGGGCTTGCGGGGGTCACCTGTCTGTAGCCACAGGCTTATGCTTTGGATGTGGTTGCTCCTAAAATTCCCAGCTACAAGGAGTGTTGAATGGTAAATACTAAAGGTTTTGTTTGTCTTTCTCAGTTTCTCCTGTCTATGCTGCTCTCAGGGGCTGCCACAAAAAGGAGTCGAGCTATTCTCCAAAGCACCTGAGGACAGGACAAGAAGCAATGGGTGGAAACTAATCAAGGAGAGAAGCAATTTAGGAGAAATTTCCTGAGAACAATTAATAAGTGGAACAACTTGCCTCCAGAAGCTGTGATGCTCCAACACTAGAAGTTTTTAAGAAGAGATTGGATAGCCATTTGTCTGAAGTGGTGTAGGGTTTCCTGCCTAAGCAGGGAGTTGGACTAGAAGATCTCCAAGGTCCCTTCCAACTCTGTTATTCTATTCTATTCTGTTCTGTTCTGTTCTGTTCTGTTCTGTTCTGTTCTGTTCTGTTCTGTTCTGTTCTGTTCTATTCTATTCTATTCTATTCTATTCTATTCTATTCTATTCTATTCCCGTGTTTCCCCGAAAATAAGACCCTGTCTTATATTTTTTTGAATCCTGAAAAAAGTGGTTGGCCTTATTTTCAGGGAGGTCTTATTATTTTGGGGTGCGTGGAGCAAGACGGGCCTCCTCTTGCCATCTTACCTGATTTCCAGCTCTGTCTCCCAGACAGAGGAAATGGCAGGGATCGGCTGCTCATGCGTTTAAATATTTGGGGGGGGGGTATTTTCAGGGAGGGCTTATTTTGGGGAGGGCTTGAGTGAATGCGCTCAAAAGCCCGATTGGGCTTATTATCTGGGGAGGTTTTATTTTCGGGGAAACACGGTATTCTATTCTATTCCTATTATTTCTTATTCTATTCTATTCCATATTCTATTCTATTCTAATTTCTATTTCTATTCTATTCCTTTTATTCCTATTATTTCTTATTCTATTCTATTCCTTCTATTCTGTTCTATTCCTTCTATTCCTATTATTTCTTATTCTATTCCATATTCTATTCTATTCCTTCTATTCCTATTATTTCTTATTCTATTCCATATTCTATTCTATTCCTTCTATTCCTATTATTTCCTATTCTATTCTATTCTATTCTATTCTATTCTATTCTATTCTATTCTATTCTATTCTATTCCATTCCATTCCATTCACAGGCTGCTCCTCTCCCTTTGCTGTTTTTCTGTCTTCCAGGGAATGATTTCAGAGCCAAGCTTGACTCTATGGGATTTCATAAACACATCCTCATCCCTGTCCTTTTCCTGGCAAAATGAGGCAGATGTTGCCCTCCAGATGTACCCTACAGCTGCCCTTCCCTTCCTGCTCACAACTACAAAGTCAACCAAGCCTTGTGTTCAGCAGTCCTTGAGTAACGCTGCCTGTTTCACCCCAAAGAAGCTTAACCAAAATTAAGAAACTAAACTGGAAAACTCGATTAGGGTCTTCAATAGAGCTGAATTTCTGGGTTTGGAGGTTTTCGAGGTTGCTTGTGGACACGATGGGAATGTGAGTGAGGGTGTTTCAACGTGTCCGTTTTCTGTTTTTTGGTTTTCTTTTTCTTTCTTTCTCCAGTTGTTGGATTTTTTTTTTTTAATGTAATGAAAGCCTCTCAGAAACCGGTGGCGACAGATTCTCCTTGTGTCGGGGATTAATCTTGAAAAAAAATCAGACGAGCTGGAAAAAAAAAAAAAAGACAAGGAGATTCTGCGCCGATTTTTGGCATCCAGCCGCCCTCTTTGGTCCCGGGGAAAAATTTATCCCAGGATAAATGTGGGCTTCCCTAAATTATGGGGCTGAAACTCCCCGGTGCTTTCATCGGCTTTCTCTTCCTCTCTCTTCCTCTCCCCCCCGCCTGTTTCATTCCCAATCAGCGCCAAGAAGATTAAGGGATTCTCTCCTCCCCCACCACCACCACGCCGCCTCCCCGCTTTCTTCCAATTCGGTGCCAATTCTGGAGCCAGGCGACCCACACATCCGAAACGTTTCCTGGTGGGCGATCCGCTGGAAAAGGGAAAAAACACCGCCAGCCCCGTCCGCCGCCTGCCTGCCTTCTCCTCCGCTGCCTGCCAAGCACCTGTTTCTGCAACTCAGCGCTGCCAATCGCTGGCTCGCTTGCTCTCCCTCTCTTTTGCACGGAACAACAACAACAACAACAAACACGACCCTGGGCTCTGCGTGGAGACTTCAAGATGGGTCAGAACGAGGAGGAAGAGGAGGAGGACGTGGAAGAGGAGGGAGAGTAGTAGGAGGAGAAAGAGAAAGAGGAGGAGGAGGAAGAAGCGGAGGAAGAGGAGGAGGAGGAGGAGGAGGAGGAAGTGGAGGAAGAGTAGGAGGATAAAGAGGAAGAGTAGGAGGAGGAAGTGGAAGAGGAAGAAGAGTAGTAGTAGAAGGAGGAAGAGGAGGAAGAAGAGGAGGAAGAGTAGGAAGAGGAAGAAATGGAGGAAGGAGGAGAAGGAGGAAGAGGAGAAATGGAGGAAGAGGAGGAGGAGGAGGAAGAGGAGGAGGAGGAAGAAGTAGAGGAAGAGTATTAGTAGGAGGAGAAGGAAGAGGAGGAGGAAGAAGTGGAGGAAGAATTGGAGGCGGAGGAGGAAGAAGTGCAGGAGAGGAGAAGGAAGAAGAGGAAGAGGAAGAGGGTGAGAGGAAAAAAAGAAGGAAGAGTAGTACTAGGAGGAGGAGGAGGAAGAGGAGGAGGAGCAAGAAGGAGAACAAGAGAAGGAAGAGTAGTAGTAGTACTAGGAGGAGGAAGAGGAGTAGTAGTAGAAGGAGGAAGAGGAGGAAGAGGACGAAGAAGAGGAGGAGGAGGAAAAAAGAGAAGAAGGCACAACCGAACACTAAAACGCCCCAGCGCTTGCCCCGCGTCTGTTTATCGCCGTATCCCCAGGCTCGCCGCTCCGACCCCGGGGGAAGAGCTGCGGGTGGGGAAGGGAAGAGGCTGGCAAGGCACAGCAAGGGGAGGCTGCGGGCGCGAGTGGCGGCGGGCACAAACCTCCGGCTCCCACCGCCGGACCTCGGGCCCTCCGATTTAGGCACGCAAGTCGCCGAGAGCCGCCGAGCGCAGCAGAGACGCTGGGAAAAACACCGGTGGAGCCGGAGCCGATTCGCGGCGGCGGCAAGCGGCGGGGGCACACACGCACATATATATATAAATACACGCACATACACACACACACACACATACGCGGGCGCGCGCCAGGAGTGACTGACAGCCCGTGCGTCACGCCGTCCGCCAACCGGCATAACCCGCGCGGGGTTCTGAGCCCTCCCCCCCGCCTGCCCCGCGCCCCCCCCCCCCCCCCCCCCAATCCCCCCCCCGCCCCCCCCCCCCCCCCCTCACCCGGAGCCTGGCTAAGCGGGCAGAAACGCAAGCCGCCCTCCCGCCCGCCCGCCCGGATCCGCTTTTCCCCTCCGCCCACAGGGACGGACCATAACCAGAGCCCGGCCGGCCGGCTTTTCGCTGCTTCTTCTTCTCTTCCTCCTCCTCCTCCTCCTCCACGTCCTCCCTCCCGCCGCCCGGGGCCACCTGCGAAAGCAGCCGCCGCTGCCGCGCGCGTGCGGCTGGGACGGACCCTCCTTCCCTCTCTCCGCCTCCCCCCCCCCCCCCCCCCCCCCACACGCCCGCTTCAGCCGCCCGTCTCCTCACAGCCGCCTCCGTCAGGCAAAGCCAGCCGAGGCGAGGCGAGGCGCAGCAACCAGGGAGAGCGCCTCGGCGGGAGAAGCGCGGCAGCCCCCCACTCGGAGGAAAGCTGAGGCGGCGGCTGAGGCGAAGGAGGAGGAGAAGGAGGAGGCTTGCCTTGAGCGAGCGGCCAAGTTCGCCACCCTCGCCCACTGACTGACTGACTGACTGACGGACGGACAAGGAGGCGGCGCAGGAGAGGAGTGGGAGGGGGGGTGAGAAAGATATGAGGGCCGGCTGAGGCGGCGGGCGCGCTTTTTTTTTTTTTTTTGGGCCCCTCCCCGCTTCATTCGGGTGGGAGGGGCCGCGCGCGGGGAGGGGAGGGGAGGGGAGGGGGGTGAAAAAAAAAAGAGAGAGAGAGAGAAGGCAGGACGCCCCGGCGGCGGCGGCGGCGGCGGCTGCGCTGGGCTTGAACGGCATCATGGCCGGGGATGGGCTTCGTAGCCGGGGCTGGCGACGGCATCGGTCTCGGCATCGGCCAGAGCAGCTTCCCGGAGCGCCGGCGGCGCGCCCTGCTCGGTGCTAGCCATGGCAAATGGCAGCGGCGGTGGAGGCGGCGGAGGCGGCGGCGGCGGCGGCGGCGGCTCCAGCAGCTACTACTCGGGCGGCGGCGGCGGCGGTGGCGGGGCGGCGGCAGCGGCAACATTAGGATGAGCAGCCCCGTCGGCGGCACCCTCAACACGGCCTCGTCGTCGGCGCCCGCCCGGGCGTCCAACGCTCTCATCATCCCCATCACCATGGAAGTGCCCTGCGACAGCGGGCAGCGCATGTGGTGGGCCTTCCTGGCTTCCTCCATGGTCACCTTCTTCGGGGGTCTCTTTATCATCCTGCTCTGGAAGGACCCTCAAGTACCTGTGGACCGTCTGCTGCCACTGCGGGGGCAAGGAGAAGGTAAGCCCACACACCACAACACACACACACACACACACACACACAACCCCGCAGCAACTTGGCGCCTTCAGCTGCTGGAAATCCCAAAGCGGTTCCCTTTTTCGCTGGAAAACTATTAAAAGGGGGGGATATTTTGTAGCTCGGGGTTGACAGGAGGGTGGGGGAGACTCCTTCAGGTGCTCTCTGAGCTGGCTGGTTTTTCTCTAGCAGACCTCTCGTGACCCAGCGAGGTAACGCCATCCGTTGCTAGTGATGCTACTGACTAGCCCTGAGGGTTGCGTTACCTAGTTTAGGTCAGGAAATCTCTTGCAGGGGAAACGAGCAAACTCGGAGAGCGGGACAGGGACAGGGACCCCTCTGTGGACCGAAAATAATCCGTCACAAATGTGTTTTTGTGTTTTTTTTTTTCCCTTCAAGAGGCAACTGGACTTCCTTGTTTTTCTTTGAAGACGTTGGGCTTCTCATCATCCAAGTAGCTGCTTCGGCTCTGATTCTATGGAGATTTTCAGTCATCCAGGTCAGGGTAGTCCTGAAGGTGCTCTTTTTAAGAGGCACTTTCTGTTTTTTTCTTTGTAGGCGTTTGGCTTCTCAACCAAGCAGCTTCTTCAGCTCTGGCTGGATGGTGGGGAAGAGCTTGGATGAGAAGGGAAAGTTCAAGGAAAAACCAGAAAGTGCCTCTTGAAAAAAAGCACCTTTGAGACAACCTGGATGACTGAGAATCTCCCTAGACATATTGGAGATTAACCAATCAGAGCTACCAATGGACTTCTATCCATTAGTTAGTTATTAGTTATTAGTTACCAACTAATGCAGGTAGTCCTTGATTTACAGCAGTTCATTTAGTTGATAGTACAAAGTTACAGCGGCACTGAACGGACTTATGACCATTTTTCACACTTACGACCTTTGCAGCATCCCCATGGTCATGTGATCAAAATTCGAATGCTTGTCAAGTGGTTCATATTTATGATGGTTGCAGTGTTCATGGGGTCATGGGATCACTTTTTGGGACCTTCTGACATGCACAGTCAATGGGGAAGCCAGATTCAATTAACAATCCTGTTACTAATTTGAACAAGTGCAGTGATTCACTTAACAACAGGAATGTTGGGCTCAATTGTGGTTGTAAGTCAAGGACTACCTGTACACTTACATTTTTCTATAACGTTTCCTGTTATAGAAAAATAGAAGAGCGTTTAAGCATCTTAGAAGTAGTTCATTTTAGTTCCCAGAAATCTATTCAGTAAGAATGTAATGTTGATACTTCAAAAGGGAAACAAAGGCATGTTACAGATAATTAAAAATAAATAAATCACAATTTATTTATTTATTTATTTATTTATTTATTTATTTATTTTGATTTGATTTGTATGCCGCCCTATCTCCATAGGACTCAGGGTGGCTCACAACAATTAAAATCAAACCAGATAAAAACATATTAAAATACAAATTAAACGTATGTTAAAATTCATTAAAACAATTGCTGTAAATCTTTAATTGCAACATGCTATCCAGAAAAGTAGACAGAAGTTTTAGAAGGTTAAGGTGGCTTGGTTCCCCAGCCAGCCAGCCTTCCAATTCTTGCTCTGCTTTTAGTGCCTTTATATTTCCTTCGGTTTTAGCTCAGACCACCTTCCTCAGGGGTTCTCCCCCCTCTCTGTATGCAGAGTATTGCCCTGTGAGGTAGGTTGGCCTGAGTCCTTAGTAATTCTGGGCTTGCTGGTGGAGAAGGATGGGGCAGCATTTGGAAGTGGGGTCACCAAACGGCAAGGCTGAGCTTGCTTCCTTTTTTGCAGGCAGGCGAGAAACTTGGAGATATGAAATGTGTCCCAGATTGTCCCTTGGGGTGGCACTGAATGCTGTTCAACTTGCAAAGAAACTTGCAAGGGGCAATTTGTCTCGCTGATCCTGGACATGCTAATGTTTGCTCAGAAATAATAAGATGGATTGAGTCAGAGGCTTGGGTCATCTCTATGAATATTTGGGAGTTGATTGTTTGAAGGATTCAACATGCCATGTCATCCGAAATCCAAATCTTACCGAGTTCTGTAGGACTTTGTAGTGTTTAGAATTACAGCCTTAGTCCCAAATAAAATCCACTTTTCTTCTTGCTGATAATTTTTCAGCTCTTTCTAAAACTGCTGTGGTTCATCTCTGTCTTGTGTGTCTCCATGAGATACTGTTCTTCTTTGACTGGAAAAGTTTAAGCATTTTTTGTATTAAGGAACAAATTTGTCTATCTGAATTAAGATGACTGTAGGTGGGTCCCTGAATGGAGCCTTACAACCATCTGTTCAGTAACTCCTTTCCCTTCCTTGTTTGTCGGTGCCAATTTGAGGACACTGTGATCCTGAAAAGCCAGATTCCAAGGGAAGTTGTTTAAAATGGCAGTTGTGTATGGACATACACAGCGGCTTCCTTTGAATGAAATGTTGGGGGGTGAAGAATACATGATTGGCAGGGGATCTTCTGTCTTATCCATCAGTGCCTTCCCCCATCTACTGAAAACCCACAACAGAAAGAAATACAGCTTCTAATAAATAAAAGGACTTCACAATTAATTTGTTCTTGCTTTTACCCTGTCAAATCCATCTTATCCAGCAACAGATTTATAACCTGCAACAGTTGAATGAATGAATAATAAAAAAATAGCATAACAAATAAATTAATACACTCAGCAGCAGCCCCCTCCCCAATTAATACAGACTCCAAATAAGGATCTTCTAGTTCACTCAGACCAACATAGAATTAAAAATGTTGACTATAATTTGGAAGGAAAAAGAGAAGTGAAAATGTTACCATTTGCAACAGTTTCTATGTATGAAAGAGATACTTGAAAGATACAACATACAAAAACAATCGCAGCTATTATTTCAAACATGGTATGGGACTCTTCTCCCTTAATATTTGAATATCCTTCAGTGTAAAAATTTGACTTAGTTCACTTTTCACTTGATTTCTTCAATTAATACGCTCCTCTCCCTCATTCTGACCCAGTTCCTTTTTTTCATTCCAAAGAAAGATTTGAATAAAATCTTCCTTCGGTTGATTAGACTTCAGATTGAAGCATTCAGATTGAAGATCTCCCTTTCCTGCCTGTAATCAGTTCTAGCTGAGACTGTAATTGTGGAATGTTTTCAGAAGTGCTGGAAAAGCAAGCAAAATTTAGGTTGACATTGATAACTCTTGTTCAGATGCCTACTGAAAAATGACAGAGAAAAGAGAAAACCAAACAGATCACGTTGAGGCCAACACTTTGAGCTTTTCAAGCCTCTCCATGTTTCATCCAATCAATCCATAATCTTTATCTGGAATTGTAATGTTCTGAAAATATTTCCTGGGCAGAATTCATGTGAGGTGGCCTTCCAGTAGAGGAAGCCACATGGAAATAAACAGGAACGGTATCAATGACTTCATTGAGGTTTGGAGTTTAAGTGTGCTCATTGATTGACTTAAGCTGGAGATGCTGAGTCTTTGCATGCTTAATTTATAAGCTTCGTCATAACTTTCAGTGGTGGTTATTATGGTGCATTTTATATCTGGAATACTGTCCGGTTCTTCTTCTTCTTCCCTTTTTTTTTTTTTTTTTGCAAATTTTTAAAAGCAGCTAGTAGAGTTAGGGAAGGGCCAAGAAAATTCAGCTAGAATGATGACGGGGTTGAAGTCATTCCAATGGGAAAAGGCTGGAATGCCTGAGACTCTTTAATTTTGAGAGGACGATTGAGAAGAGGACATGATTAATATCTATAAAATCATGCGTGATATGGAGAAAGTGATTAGGGATCAAGCTTTTCTGAAGACTACGATCCTAGGAAGCTGGCTGGAAGGAGTTTTAAAGTTGCAGGAAGAAAAAGGAAGTGCTTATTTATGTACACATAAGTAACTACTTTAATGAATAAGTATTACATTCATTACAAGGTACAGTGATTGAGGTTAACATGGATAGCTTTACATTGGGATTAAATATGTCCATGTAAACCAGGCCTTTCTAGAGTTGTCAGTGTTGAGAATCAGTGTTGGCTCTTGGTTAGAGTTGCCATGCTCCCAGATGGCAGCTGCTGGCAAATAGTGGTGGGGCAGGGTATATTCCCTTCTGCTGCTTTTGAGCATTCCAGAAACTTCTAATTGGCCACTATAAGAAGCAAAGTATTAGACTAAGGAGAGTCTTGAGCTGAAGTTCACTTAGTGCTGATCTGGACAGTTGTGTTTATGAAAACAGAATGTCATTCTTGAGTCATTAAACGAATAGCTCTAATCAACATTTACAGATTAACAGAGTTGGAAGGGACCTTGTAGGTCATCTAGTCCAACCCCTTGCCCAAGCAGGAGACCCTACACCATTTCTGACAAATGGCAGTCCAATCTCTTCTCGAAAGCCTCCAGTGATGAAGCTCCCATAACTTCTGAAGGCAACTTCTGTTCTACGGGTTGATTGTTCTCACTGTCGGAAATGTTCTCCTTATTTCTAGGTGTTTAGTAAATTTGTTTAGTAAATTTCCATGAAACTGAAGGATAATGAGGCATGTAACACAAAATGTCCTTACCTGGGAGTAAACGTTACTGAAAACACTGTGGGGCTTATTTCCAAATAGACATACAGAAAACAGTTGGTTTTTCCTGGATCAGAGTATATGTCCACCAACCTTTGTATGATCATTATTGATGATCCCATTGATTTTGATAGGATTGAAGTGATCTCCTTCTGTGAACAATAGGAGTGTCTATTTTTCCATGATACATAAAGACTTTAGATCTCTTATTTCAATAAGGCAGGCCCATATTCTCTAATTGTACTTAGGTTAAGTCAAGTTGAACTTGATTCCAGTTTTTTTTTTTTTTTTTTGGTATGATGTGGAAGTGGTTTACTACTGTTGACTTCTGGGACATTATTTTGACATCCTAGTCCAGCTTCAACTTTAGAATTCCCTGATTGAAGTAGTTTAGTTTAGTTTAGTTTATTGTCATTGCACATGGTACAACGAAATTAAATGCCGTCTTCA